CTCCCGCCCGCTCCCTTCTCCTGCACTCTCTTCGCCGTCGCTGGGGGGCCGCGATCTGCCAAACCGTCGCCACTTTCGGGGCTGCTGGTGGGCCCAGCGGGGTGAGGCACCGCGCGGATCCGAGGTAGACCTCGCCGTCCCTGGGGGGCTGCGATCTGCGAAACCGTCGCCACTTTCGAGGGCAGCTGGTGGGTCCAGCGGAGTGTAGCATCGCGCAGACCTGAGCGAGACCTCGCCGTCCCTGGGGGGGCTGCGATCTGCGAAACTGTCGCCACTTTCGAGGGCTGCTGGTGGGTCCAGCGGGGTGAGGCACCGCGCAGATCTGAGCGAGACCCCGCCGTCCCTGGGGGGCTGCGATCTGCAAAGCTGTCGCCACTTTCGCCGGCTGCTGGTGGGTCCAGCGGAGTGAGGCACCGCGCAGACCTGAGGTAGACCTCGCCGTCCCTGGGGGGCTACGATCTGCAAAAGTGTCGCCACTTTCGAGGGCTGCTGGTGTCCAGCGGAGTGTAGCGCCGCGCAGACCTGAGGTAGACCTCGCCGTCCCTGGGGGGCTGCGATCTGCAAAATTGTCGTCACTCTCGAGGGATGATGGTGGGTCCAGCGGGGTGAGGCACCGCGCAGATCTGAGCGAGACCTCGCCGTCCCTGGGGGGCTGCGATCTGCGAAACTGTCGCCCCTCTCGGGGGCTGCTGGTGGGTCCAGCGGAGTGAGACACCGCGAAGACATGAGCGAGACCTCGCCGTCCCTGGGGCGCTGCGATCTGCGAAATTGTCGCCACTTTCGAGGGCTGCTGGTGGGTCCAGCGGGGTGAGGCGCCGCGAGGACCTGAGGTAGACCTCGCCGTCCCCTGGGGGCTGCGATCTGCGAAACTGTCGCCACTCTCGAGGGCAGCTGGTGGGTCCAGCGGAGTGAGGCAGGCCTGAGGTAGACCTCGCCGTCCCTGAGGGTCTGCGATCTGCGAAACTGTCGCCACTTTCGAGGGCTGCTGGTGGGCCCAGCGGAATGGGGCACCGCGCAGCCCTGAGATAGACCTCGCCGTCCCTGGGGGGCTGCGATCTGCGAAATTGTCGCCACTCTCGAGGGCTGCTGGTGGGTCCAGCGGGGTAAAGCGCCGCGAGGACCTGAGGTAGACCTCGCCGTCCCTGGGGGGCTGCGATCTGCGAAACTGTCGCCACTTTCGAGGGCTGCTGGTGGGTCCAGCGGGGTGATGCACCGCGCAAACCGGAGCGAGACCTCGCCGTCCCTGGGGGGCTGCTGATGGGTTCAACGGGGTGAGGCACCACGCAGTCCTGAGGTAAACCTCGCTGTCCCTGATGGGGGCGGGGCTGCGATCTGCGAAACTGTCGCCACTTTCGAGGGCTGCTGGTGGGCCCAGCGGGGTGAGGCACCGCGCAGTCCTGAGGTAGACCTCGCCGTCCCCGGGGGGGCTGCGATCTGCAAAACTGTCGCCACTCTCGAGGGCCGCTGGTGGGTCCAGCGGGGTAAAGCGCCGCGAGGGCTGCTGGTGGGTCCAGCGGAGTGAGGCACCGCGCAGACCTGAGCGAGACCTCGCCGTCCCTGGGGGGCTGCGATCTGCAAAGCTGTCGCCACTCTTGAGGGCTGCTGGTGGGTCCAGCGGAGTGAGGCACCGCGCAGACATGAGCGAGACCTCGCCGTCCCTGGGGAGGCTGCGATCTGCGAAACTGTCGCCCCTCTCGGGGGCTGCTGGTGGGTCCAGCGGAGTGAGGCACCGCGCAGACCTGAGATAGACCTCGCCGTCCCTGGGGGGCTGCGATCTGCGAAACTGTCGCCACTTTCGGGGGCTGCTGGTGGGCTCGCCACTGTCGAAAGCTGCTGGTTTGTCCAGCGGAGTGAGGCACTGCTCAGACCTGAACGGGACCTCGCCGTCCCTGGGCGACCGTGTCATGTTGTTGCTCCCCCGCCGTCGTTTCAAGTCCCTTGCCCCAGTCTCCTTTTGGACCTTACGTCTTCCTTAGTGACTCAGGGCTTCACGCAGTTACTCATAGTTTTTTCCCTTGATTGGGGACCTGCGAACCTTCCATCTGCCGCTCGCAAAAGTATATGCGTCCAAATCACGTCGCCGCCTTCTCGTCAAATCTCCGAAGCTACTCCTGCCCCGCATTGCGCAGGGGTTGGGTACGTCGCCAGGGTAAGTTACGCTTATGGATTGCCCGTCTCTCTCTCTCTCTCTTGATTTATATATATATAGATACATGTGATATTTGCATATCCTTTTTTGTTCTCTCTCTCACACCACATATGCGTATAAACTGTGTAATTCTGCGTGTGTATGTATGTATGTATGTATGTATGTATGTATGTATGTATGTATGTATGTATGTATGTATGTATGTATGTATGTATGTATGCATGTGTATATATATATATATATATATATATATAGATGTACGTGTATATGTACACACATATATAGGTCGACATATACGTGTGTGTATATATATATATATATATATATATCAGTCAGGGTCTTCCGCCAGCGGCCCGCTGCGGGAGTCTTCCCGGCGCGCCGGCGCGCAAGGGGCGCCCGCCAGGCAACGAAGCGTGCGCTGTCACCGTGCTCTGCTCCCTCGCGCTCGCCGTGGAGCGCGGCCGCCTCGGGATCGCGCAGCCCCTGCGTGGGCGCGATCGGCACGCGTTCGAGTTCAGCTGGCGCGTCCCGTCAGTCGATGACCACGCGATGCTTCATCGCCGCCGCAAAGCACGAGCCTGTGGTGTGACTGTTCCAGCACTGCTGATCTGGGTCTTGCCTGGAGGAGGCGTTTCGCGGGCGACAGAACACGAGGAGCGCTCTCTGTGATGTCGCATTCGGGGGGTCAGTTGGCACTGTCGCGGGTTGCTCTCTACTATCCTGTGGTGGGCGTGGGGATGTCAATCGCATCTCAACGCCTATGACGCCTGGCGTGATGTTCAACCAGCACGTTGCCGTCTAAACGGATGCAGCCTCGGAGGATGCACACGACCTTAATTGGGCTGCGCGGTCTTTGGATGTCCCCGTGCAGAATCCACGTGGTGGGCTCGGGCTCGACAGCTGGTGACGGACTTGCGCTAGGTCTTCTCGCTGCGCAGGGCGCGTTTTCTTCATTCTGGAAGGAGTTGGCCAAATGGGCGAATGATCGGACACTCGTTCACGTTGACCTGGGGATGCAGTCTGCTGGTGCCAACTACTTCGGCGGATGGAACACGCATCGGGCACCGCGCGGCGCTGGCACACGAAGGTCTCAATCGGCCAGCAGCAGTGTCATTGCCCTTCTTCGCCTGGCAGACAGCGATGGTGTCCTCTCGAGCATATCGCGCTGGCTCGTCAAGCGGTCCATTTGTGGGCTATGTGGTTGTTTGACCTTCGCGTTCCCTGGTTCACCACATCGCTTTGTTCCTGCCAGGTGCTGCGCACCGCGACTGGCATGGTGTGAGCGCTGCTCTCTGCCAGCTCCTTGACACACAAGTCGCGATCGTGGGGGAATCTGCAGTCGTGTGTTATTTTTGGGATCGCCTTACCATCATCTCCTCCTTGTTCGTTGGGCAGATGCGACGATATCATCGACTCTTCCAGTGGTTGACGTTGTGTACATTCAGATCTTGCGCGTGTGTGGGTAATGCTCTACATGCTCATCAAACAAAAACCGTGCATGCTTTTAGTGGCGTAGCTGTCGTTCCCCACGGCCTGCACTGGGTCTAGCGAGGTGCTTGCGTTCTGAGATGCTGGCCGCTTCTCTACGCATTTTGTTTGTGCGTGCGCGCACGTGTGTGTGTGTGTGTTGTGTGTGTGTGTGTGTGTGTGTGTGTGTGTGTGTGTGTGTGTGTGTGTGTGTGTGTATGTGTGTGTATGTGCGTGCGTGCGTGCGTGCGTGCGTGCGTGCGTGCGTGCGTGCGTGTGTGTGTGTGTGTGTGTGTGTGTGTGTGTGTGTGTCTGTGTGCGTTGACTTTCTCGCCTCCTCGCTGCGCGCGAGGCCGCGACCGCAAAAAAGTGTTTGTGTGTGTGAGAGAGAGAGAGAGAGACAGAGAGAGAGCTGGCCCAGTCCGTGGGTTTCTCGCTTGACTTGCCCTACGCCGCGCCGCCGCGCGCGTGGCCGCGATGCCAAAAAGTGTGCGTGTGTGTGTGTGTGTGTGTGTGTGTGTGTGTGTGTGTGTGTGTGTGTGTGTGCGTGTGCGTGTGTGTGTGTGTGTGTGTGTCGCCTGTGCCTGACCGATGGTTGTCTAAACGTTGCGGAGGAGGAGCAGAATTGGTGCATCTGTGTGTGTGTGTGTGTTAGTAAAACCCCGTGTCTTTGTAGCAGAAGTGCCCACATGGTTAGTGACACAAGAGCTAGGGTATAGGAGCTCATGCACTCAGGTGCGGTGGCCAAGGGAAGGAGCCTGGGGATCCAAACGACCACTGGAAACTGCTGCTACTGGGGTCACCAGGGGGGGAGCTATAAGAATCCGAGTCCAAAGGAACCCGCGGGAATCCCAAACAGCCACCAGCAAGTGCCGCAGCCGCGGCCGTTTCTGAGGGAATCCATCGGAGCCAGCAAGAGGCCATAGCAGTCCAGGCGGCCACCGGAAACCGTGGCAACCAGGGCCAACGGGAGGGCGCACAGTAGGACCCCACAGGAGTCCAAGTGGCCACCAGAGGAGTGCGGCAACCAGGGCCAACTCCGGGGGAAGCTACAGGGGCCCGCACGGACCCGCAGGACTCCACGCGGCCACCGGGTGGTGCGGCAACCAGGCGCAGATTTTCTAGAGCCAACGCCGCGCTTTCAGGCAGCGACGCTCGGAGCCGCTTCGCTCAGCGCCTCGGCAGGGGTGGACCTGTGGCCCAGCAGCATATACGTGCGTTCGTGTGCACCGTGGCAGCAATTGCAGCAGCTGCGCCACTTGCTGGCGGCGCGCAGAAGGGGACAAAGGCGGGGCGGGCGGCCTTCTGAAGAAGACGCGCTGCCCCTCGCGGGGCCATCCTGACCTCTCGTTGCAAGCACTGTTTGGAGAATCCATGCCACGCG